CACGCTACCACGCCCGGCTGATTTTTTTATTTATTGTAGAGATGAGGTCTCGCTGCCCAGGCGGGTCTCGAACCCGCAGGCTCAGGCAATCTACTCCCCTCAGCCTCCCAAAGGCGCGGGATTACAGGCTGAGCCACCAAGCCCGGCTCACCTTGTGCCTTTTAAAGCTCAGCACATTTCGCTTCTCCTCCAGGATCATCCCAGCCCACACAGACCATTCTTGTCTTGAAATTCCACCAACAAGAACCGTCAGTCCCATTTCTGAGACCCTTAGCACACCCCATATCTCTAAATGCACATTTATTCAACAAATATCACCAAGCAAAAATAGTGACCTTCCTCACCTTTTCAATTCTTTTTGTCTGATCTCACAAACTGGATCTGTCCTTTGCTCCATCAGTCATTGAATTTGCTACTTTTTCTCCAAAATGTCATGCTTTTTTAATGCCTCCGTGCCTTTTCTCATGATGTTCCCTCTGCATGGTTGACTTTACTTATCTTGTCAGGCTAGAAAACTCCTGGTCACCTTGATGACCCATGTCAAATGTCCCAAGTGGATTCCCTGATCTCCCCAACCTGGGTCAAGTGCTTTCTCCTGCACTCCTGCAGTCCCTGAGCTTCCTGCTATCCTGGCACTGACTACATAGGGTGTGATTATCAGTTACTTATCAGCGTCTCCCTCTAGAGAGTGAGCTCTGTGAGGGCAGAACCCAGATGGGGCTGGGGGAGGAGCAGGCGGTCAGCAGTGTCTGGTGCAAGAATGGGTCCTAGCCTGTACTGTGCTCTTTGCCATCTGGGGACCAGGCAGGTCCCCTCTGGGCTTCAGTGCCCCCCCAATGGAATGGCTGTAGTGCAGAACCAGGAGACGCTGGGGGTGTGGAAAGTCCTGTCCACGGGGAGGCCCACCTGTAGTACATGTAGCAGAGGAAGCCGACTGTCTGAATGAGGAGGAAGAACAGGAAGATGCCGGGCTGCAGGCATGATGGGGCCCCTGGGAACCGGGCAGGTGGGCGGCGGTCCTTGGCTGCTGCTTTCTGAGAGGGGAAAGTCTAAGGTCCTGGCCCAGAAGGAGGGAGGGGACCTGGAATCTGGGCTATGTGCCGCCTCTGTTTCCCTCCCCCAGGCTTGGGGCCGTGGCTCTCATCCGGGGAACTTGGCAGAGGGGGCAGTGGACAAAGCTGCCTCTCCCACCCCAGCTCCATCTGTGGGAACAGCTGGGAAAGCCTGGGGCCTGGGATCATTAAGGAGCCAAAGGCTTAAGAGGAGAGGAAAGTAGAAAGCAAAGGCAGGGTGAGGGCTACGACAGGGGAAGAGTGGGGTAGGACAAGGGTCTGGAGAGGAGCCGGCTCCACCACTGAACCCTGAATGATTGTGGTCACAGCCACCCCATCCCCTTCTGGTCCCTGAGGGTGTTGGAGCAAGCCAGGGGTCTGCAGGGCTCTGCTGGTGCTGAGAGTCTGTGGGCTTCTCCAGAGAGCAGAGCGGGCAGAGAGGACACGAGATCTGTGTCATTGCATGAGTGCACGTGAGCACACATAGACACAGACACAGTTGTGTCTGCCAGGGTTCCTGGGAGTGGAGGGCAGAGGCAGAAGTGCCTGGGGTTGCAGAGGTGCTAGAAGTTGGCTGAGCCCGGCCCTCAGGGATGCCTCCATGCTACCCGCTCTCCCCTCTCACCGCCAGGCCCCGAAGGTCCTTCTGCAAGAGGCTTAGGATCTGGTCCAGCTCTAAGAAATGATGCTCAGTGCCCACAGGCAGGTAGGAGACCTGAGCTTCTGAGGCCATGCGGGCAGCTTCATCCCTGGTGGGGGGTGGAAACCAAAGGGGATGACCCATTACCCCTCAGGTTGCACTGGAATCACCTAATCACTTCACATAATCCCCAAGGGCAGCACATGGGTGAAGAACAGGCACCATCCATAGGGCCCCTTTTGGGGGCTGGTCTTTTTTTTTTTTTTTTG